GGCGGAAAGAAAACGCAATTCATATTAAACCGAAAAGACAAGAGAATCTCACGAGAATCCTCAATATAGTCGACAATTCTCTAATAAGCAAATCACGAACTTTGCAATCAATCAATCGAGCACCTTTGCTTGCATGGCAGCCTAACGAGAAAGAGGAAGGGGCAACCGCCCCTTTACCATGTGATAGAGCCAGATATCTGTTAGTGCACTTGCCAGTCTTCCTCCATACAACTCCACATCATCACTATGCAACTCCATGTCAGCATTCCTGAGTTTTCAGAGGTGCGTTGTGCTGCTGCACGTGTGAGGAATTGAGAAGAAACTTGTTTCATGCGTTGAAAGCATCTATAAAAACAACAAACAAAATGAAATTGGGTATAATTAGCATTTTAGCCAAAATACTTCGAATAATAATAACATATATATATATATGCATATATACTTGATGAAACTCCTAAGAAACAACCTATCATTAACCCTTGTTTGTTGTCCCTTTCGCCCTCTCTGCCTACGGTTTACCAGACAACTTTATTTGATAATATATATATATATATATACATATATATATACAGGGTCACCAGCCCGTACGTACAGAGGTCCCCGTGCTGACCTTCGTACGTACGGGCGTTCGGGGTCTCGTTCGAGATCCGAACCAGAAGGCGTTCGGCCCCTGCCAAAAATTATCCAGGGCCTAGAAATAAACTTTTTTTTTTTTAGTTTTTTTTTTTTTAGTTCTCTATGATGTGAGGTACATACCTATAAATCTTGAAGTCATTTTGCTAAGCCAAAACAAAATTAAAAATCGCCAAAGATGGTGGTGTCGAAATGTGCTTGCTTACTCACTATTGTTTTTTTTTCACTTCTTACTTTTGATTTTCACTTTATTTCTGGGCCTAAAAAAAATTGTTATTTTTTTAAAAAATTTTAATGATCTTTGTTTTATGTGATGAAAACATCTGTAAATTTTCAGGACATATGGCTATGCAAAAAAAAAAAAAAAAAATCTCCAAAGATGGCAGTGTCGAGAACGTGCTCACGAACTCGCTAATTTTAATTCTCGTTTGATTTTTTTTTTTTTAATCAGTATTTATTTTTCATATATATATATATATATATATTCATAGTTGGTAAGAAATTTGGATGCAATGCTTAGACGAATGCTGTTTTTTCTTCATAACATTTGTTTTTCTTTCAAATATTTCAGATTTTTTTTTGCTTTCCATGTTCAGGCCGAATAACCGAACGCATCCCCACGGGGTCCTGTATGTTCGGGCGTTCGGCCTGTCCCGAATGTCGGTTACCCTGTATATATATGCAACTAATTCAGCTTCCGCTTCCGGTAAATCAAAAGAGGCACAATTCGTTTCCACTAAACAAGAAATAAAAACACAATCAGTAAATAAAAAAGGGGAATACCAAACCATATCTATTTTTGTGCTATGACGATTTTCATGAAATTACAAGAACCTATGTAAATTAATATATATATATATATATACAAGGTTGCCGATTTTCGGGACGGGAAGAACGCCCGAATGTTCGGGACCCCCTCTCGATGCGTTCAGCCGTTCGAGTGAATGTGGATAAAAAAAATAATTTACCAAATTTAAAATAAAGTCAAATATTAAAAATAAATAATTAGTAAAAAAAAACAAAAAAAAAACGGGAATGAAAATATTGAGTGGGCGAGCACGTTTTGACACCGTCATCTTTGGCGATTTTTTATTTTTTTTTGGCTGTGACAAATACCATGAAAATTTATATATGTGTATCTTACATAATAGAGAATCTACAAATTAGGTTTAAAATATATTTTTTTCATGCCCCGAAATAAAGGAAAAACAAAAAGTGAAAAGAGAGAAAAAACAAATTAGTAAGTGGGCAAGCAAGTTTTGACATCACCATCTTTGCCATTTTTTTTATTTTTTTTTTTGCTGAATAGAATACCTTCAAAATTAAGAGGAAGACACCTTTACAAGGAACTCACACAAAACAAATCAGAAATAACTAATAATATTTAGGTGCCAAAATATTTTTTTGCGGGGTCCGAACCCCTTCGGGTTCGGGCCCCATACGGGGACCCAAACGCCCAAACGTTCGAGGGTCAGCTTAGGGGCCTCCGTACGTTTGGCCGGCAACCCTGTATATATATTGTCACATTGTGAATCAGAGCGCAAAAAAGGGAAAAGAAAAAAGGAAAAGGAAAAAAGGGGAAGGGGAAGGAGTTAAGGAAAGCTCCACCTGTTTATATACAGTTGTTTGACCATATATATGTATATATCTACCGACGGTTTACTAGGCAGTTCTGTTCGACGATACATATATACATAAATATACAATATTATATATAGTTTTGCTTGACGTATATATGTACATCTTTATATCGTCAAATAGAGCTGCTCGGAAAACCGTAGGCAAAGAGGGAGAAAAGGACAACAAACAAGGGGTTGTGACAAACTGTTTCGCCGGAGTTTCACCGACTCATCAGGAGGCTGAACCCTATATATGTTGTATATATGTACATTATACATACAAGTGGACCCTGCTATGGTTGCAATTGTTCAGGGGGAGATATATAGATAGATAGATAGATAGGTAGATAGATAAATCGATAGATAGATCGATATATATATATATATATATATATATATATATATATATATATATATATATATATATATATATANAGAGAGAGAGAGAGAGAGAGAGAGAGAGAGAGAGAGAGAGAGAGAGAGAGAGAGAGAGAGAGAGAGAGACCACAACGACGGTGCGACACAACAACATGTCGCCATGGCTCCTGACGGGCTAGCAATTGTTCATACTCAAGACATGCAGAACAGTCTACGGGAAACTCGAGTCCATTTTTGTCCCCCTTTCTTTATCTCTCTCTCTCTCTCTCTCTCTCTCTCTCTCTCTCTCTCTCTCTCTCTCTCTCTCTCTCACACACACACACACACACACACACACACGGCAGAGGAGGATCACGTCTTTCTGCTTCTCATGGTGAAGTTTCCGGGTAGATCATTCGGCGTGAGTGTCTTCGCGGCCTCGCACGTGGTGACACTTGTACAATATCGCCGGTAATGAGAAGCATGATGCCGCGTTCGACAACACGGTGCAACATGTTTTGAAAAGATTGTCGGTCAGAGGTAGTGAGTGGCTCATTATCGAGGATGTGGATGTGTGTGACCGTTGTGATAAGAGCGCACTGAAATAAACGAAAAAGAGAAAGAAAAGTGAGTGCAGAAAGAAGACAGAATGCAAAAAGGGGATGTAATCTCGAATCAATCAACCCATCAATCAATCAATCAATCAATCAATCAATCGGCCAATCAGTCAATCAGTCAACCAATCAATCAATCGAAAACATTATCGCTGCTGACCACCCGTCACCTGCTCCTCCTCCTCCTTTTCTTCCTCCTCTTTCTTTCCCTCCTCACGGCTTTGTCATCTGGCATCTTCCCTTCCTCCTCCTCGGCTTCCTCCTCCCCCTCCTCGTTACCGCTCTCATTTGTGTGACACGAGGTGAGTCCGGGCATTTCTTTTCATTTTATTTTAGGGTTATGTTCTTCCCCTACTTCCCTCTTTCTCCTCGTTTTCCTCCTCCTCCTCCTGTCTCTTTTTTCTCTGTCGCAACCTTGATCTTATCCCGATCCCCCTTCCTCTATCCCAATCCTTCTACCCGGTATGACACCTTTTTCTCCTTCCACCTCGTCGATCCTTACCTCCCTCTAACTTGTTGCTCGTCTCGATGTCTGCTTCGGCCTCAATCCTCCCACCTTCCCCGATCCTGATCTCCTTCTATCCCGCTCCCGCTCCCCGGTGTTAGTGGTCCTCGTCACCATCATCGCCGCAATGATCACCATCATCATCACCATCGTCGTGACCATCATCGTGATCCTTGTCACCAAATAAAAAAGTAGGCCCCTTCATCATCATCACCATCATGCTGCCCCTCCCTGTCTTGTCCGCACCATCATTCGTCCTCCCACTTTCATATCATGTCATCGCCATCAGGATGCTCACTACATTCCTCCTCCCAACCCACGCCATCCGTATGGACGGTCATCAATGGCTTCTCCCCTCTCTGTTACACTTACTTCTCCTATCCCTTGCCCACCCCCTGCTCTTGAATCTTCTTAGTGGTCCTGGACTCCTTGTCACCATCATCACCATCATCACA